TTGCATTTGCCTTGAAGGAACACCAACTTTTTGAGCCATTATTGGAGCTATTAATCGAGGATCAGCGAATCTAAAGCCCAGCTTTTGAAAGTTTTCGATAATCCCTTTACATTTATTACGATTAATAATGTTTATAGTATTTGAACTATCTGAATTGATACCTTCATGAGATTTGATTTGTTTTACAACGAATAAAATTTGGCCACTTTCTTCTTTTTGTTGAGATAATAGAGTTTGTGGTTGAGTGTAATCATACATTGAATCTTCATTGTCGAGGTTTATTTTTCCAAGGGCCTGTTGTTTTTCAGTTGATGATGATTCATATCCAGTAAAGAGTATTTGATCATATAATATTCCAGATTCTACAAGTGGAATATTTAATGAATCTGCAAGTTGTCGAGCATTTATCATGAATGATTCAATAAAAATTGTAGAACGAGAAACTTTGCGTTTGTTTTGCATTTTTTGTGCTTCTTCAACATGTGGAAGCCTTAAACCAAATATAGTTAGAATGGCGCAACAAAAACAAACAAATATGTATATATATTAAATATTTATCGATATTAATATCGATATGAAAAGTTTACCATTGATTTACGGTTTCCCATTCATTTGTAAGTTGATAAATCGAATGAAATACATCATCTTCTAAACTCTATAAAAAAAAATGAATAAATTTATATATTTGATAAATAAAAGCTGATTGCAATTTTTTTTGACATACCAATTGTTGAAACTCTTCATTATCACCAATTTTTACTAAAGGTAATAAACCATCGACTGAAACTAATACCGAACCTTCTTCATTAAATATGGCAGCACCTAAAGCAATTTTTTGTACAAGAGGCTCCTTTGTTTTTTTTGTATAAATTACTACACCTAATAAGATTACACACGCAACCAAACAACCCAATGCTATCACTATTAATAATAAAAGGATATATTTAGTGTAAATAATAAAATATTTTATGATATTTTATAATGTTATTGTAGTAATGAAATTAACTTACACCCAAGAAATAAACTATCACTTAAGAAAAGATCATCATGGATAGGTTTACCGGTGTCATAATAATGGGTTCCCGCATATGCAG